TTGTTAAGGAGGAAGGTGGATCATTTTGACTCAGAAAAAGCAAAGGAATGGAGATGTGTTTTCAAGACTGGATGTTGTGTGACTCAGATAAGCACTAGCTTGTTCTGTTGTTCCCATGCATCTGCTTCCCTTGTCCTTTTAGGCAGTGATGACTGCAGATTTGGAAGGTGCTATGGCAAACTGGGACTTTTATCCATAATGTTCTGGATCAGAGGTAAGACCGCAACTATTGAGATAAGCTTGCAAGTTGAGCTCAATTTTGTTTGGCATTTGACTTCCTCAGTAAGTCCACTTTCACAACAATCGCAGCACTAAGACTTGGGTCCCATTGAATACATCCTTTATGTCCCTATTTGTTATCCTTTAAGTCCTTTAGGGAAGGAAACTGCCATCCTTACCTGGTCTGGCCTACATTTGACTCCAGACCCACAGCAATGTGGTTGACTCTTTATGGATGGGCAATAAATGCTGCCTAGCCAGTGATGCCCTCATCCCATTAATGAATAAAGAAAAAAAAATCAGCAGTGTCCTCAGTTTCCATGTTTTCTTTGCATTTTTAATGTCATCGGAAGAACCCATTTTGCATGAGTCACTCGTGTTAGCATAATGGTTGTGGAATTATAATGTTACATAATTTGTAAGGAAGGCTAATGTATCTTTAAAATGGACACATAATCCCACAAAATGTATCCCAGAAGTCACTTGAAAAAAATCCTTGTAGCTTCAGCTGCTATTGGCACGAGGCTGTACTTATCACAGAAATAAAAATCAACAAAGCACCTTTTGAAATTCAATTAATAATTCCTAGCGCAAATAGAAATTCCCAGATAATGGACTTCATGGAGTTGTGGATAGCTCATCCTAACTCATTGTGACCTGGTGTGGGCATGCATGACGGTCAAACAGCCTCTTTTTGTGCCCTTACACTTCGATGACAATGAGACCAATCCAAACTGATGGCTCCGACAGTTCAAAGTTAATTAGCTCAATTAAAAAAAAGTTGATTGGTCTGTTACCCAATATGGAAGCAGATGCAACAGTTTTGGGATAGCAGCTCTCTTACGTTTTGATCTGTACAACATTGGCTCAAGATGTCACTTTAACAGAACACTTACAAGAATTCTGAGAGACACTGTCCAGAGAGAAAGAGGCTTATGAACAAGGAGATAGAGGGAGGAAAACCAGCTTCAGGACTGCTGTACTGAATCAGGCTCTCTACAGCCACAAACAGGTGTACCCAAAAGCAAAACAATGTAACCTTCACTCCCCATGCCCCCACACCACCACCCCCCTCCCAGAACCTGTTCTGCTCAGTCACCCTGCACAAGACACCTCTAATTATTTTATCATATAAACCATTGTAGTTACTGAATTGAGATTTGAAGACTTTAGCCCCTTCACCTCAGAAACAGAAGTCTTCAAACAAGCCAAGCCTTCAATAATTGATCTTAGTTTCTTCCGTCTGCTTAACCGTACCTACTTTTAATCTTTGTATCTGTATTTTAACTAGTAACTGTATCACTTTTTCTTTAACTTTTGTAATACCTCAGTACTAAACTTTGATAACGTTTCGGGTCCGGTGACCCTTCCTCAGAACTTGAAATCTGAGGAAGGGTCACCGGACCTGAAACGTTAACTCTGTTTTCTCCTCCACAGATGCTGCCAGACCTGCTGAGCTTTTCCAGCAGCTTTGTTTTTGTTCCTGATTTACAGCATCTGCAGTTCTTTTGGTTTTTACTAAACTTTGATATTGTTCTTGACTAAATCTTTGCTTTTTTTTTAAACTCAGAGCACTTAAGAAACTTTAAGGAGCGAAATGAAATATACAAACTTGTTCGTGGGTCATTCTGCAGACATGCCTGGTACAGTTGTGACAGATAAAAAGTTCTGAGTTATTTTGTTCGTTATCTGGATGCCAATTTCACTGACAACACCAGTATTTATTGCCCAACTCCTAACTGCTCTCACGAAGGTGGTGATGAGCTAGCCTCTTGAACCACTGCAGTCAGAGTGGCGCAAAGGACACTCACAGTGGTGTGTGGAAAATGTGCTCCAGTTAGTTCCCCAGTGACAATGAAGGAACACAGTGATATTGTTCCATGTCACAATGATGTATAGCTCGATGGTGAACTTGGAAGTGCTCCCATCTACCTAATGCCCTTGTGCTTCTACATGGAGGATGTTGAAGCATGTGGAGATACTTTGGCAAATTTTTGTAGTGCATCCTTTAGATGGTACCCAAGGCAGCCATGGTGCACTAGCGACTAAGTGTGAATGCTTTTTCCAGTCCTTCCGTCTTCAGTGTTACATTTTCTTGTTTTGCGCCTGCTTATTTTTGTATTCTAACTAAATGCCTCGCAGTAACCTTTCTCAGAAAAAAGCAAAAACTGTTTTGCCTAACTGCAGTGAAAGCATGAGGAAAGATTGACACCTGCAGGTCAGGAAGGGATTTGCAAGCGGAAGATTTATGTCTTCCAGCTTTCAAGTTTGACCAGGTTCCACATGTGTTTTATAGTAGTTAACTCAGATATATGAAACTAATCTATATATGTGAAAAACATTTAGATTCTCTGTTCATGAGAGGTGAAAAATCTAAATCCTCATCATTGTAAGATCCTACTATATCTGAGTTTTCATTGGTCTATATTTTCTGATGTATTTTTCTCTCCAGTAACTAACTTATATTTTCTTCTTATTTATCTTATGCAGTTTTCACAAAGCCATTCAGTCAGGATTGGCTGGGAAAGGGAAGTGATCTAGCGTGTTACCTGTGGCACAGTGAGTTTTTCCTTTATTCATTAATGGGATGTGGACATCGCTGACTGGGCAGCATTTATTGTCCATCCCTAATTGCCCTGAGGGCAGTTCAGAGTCAACCACATTGCTGTGGGTCTGGAGTCACATGTAGGCCAGACCAGGTAAGGATGGCAGTTTCTTTCCCTAAAGGACATTAGTGAACCAGATGGGTTTTTCCCAACAATCGGCAATGGATTCATGGTCATCATTAGATTATTAATTCCAGATATTTTTATTGAATCCAAATTCCACCATCTGCCATGGCTGGATTCAAACGCAGGTCACCAGAATATTATCTGGGTCTCTGGATTAACAGTCCAGCGATAATACCACTAGGCCAATGCCTCCCACTTTACTTCCTTAAAACAAAAGCGTATAGATTCAAATCCTGTTCCAGAAATGCGAGAAAGTAACCTTGACTTACAGAAATGCAAGAAAGTAACGTTGACTTACAGTCCAGTGAACGTTTTTCACTCTGAGCTGGAGATTAAAGATCCTATGACACTGTCATGAATGTCAGGGGTTCCTTCCTCATTAGCACTTATTTCTCAATTGCCATCTAGAACAGATGATCCACTCACTTATTTCGTTGGTTGTTTTTTTTGTGGGAGCTTGCTGTGTGCAAATTGGCCACTGCATTTGTTACATTATAACAGTGATTTCATCCCTAAAGTGCTGTATTTTTTCAATTCAGTCATGGCACATGGCTGTCTCTGGCTAGGCCAGCATTTATTGCCTATCCTGAATTGACATGGCAATGAGCTGCCTTCTTGATCTGCAGCAAGCCATGTGGTAAACTATTACAAAGATGCACAGCAAAATTAAAGAAAGTCATTTAGCCTGGAAAACTTTGGCATGCTGAAATAAATAAGAAAAAATAGTAGTTCCTCTTGGTCATGATAGCAAACACAGATGGGATCTCCAGTTCCACCCATTGAGCCTAAAATTGGAAACTGGAAGGCACAGTTTGAGAGAACAGTGGAAAAAGTTCCAAAAATAACTTTTAAAGGAAATTGCATAAATTTGAAAGAGAAGGGATCAGAGAGTTGTGGGGAAAGAGCAAGTTAGTGGAATTCATTTCTCTAGTGATTCTGGACTGATGATCTTACAACAAGTTCAAATTCCACCATCTTTAGAAGGGCAATCCAAGATGGACAATAGATGTTGGCCTTGCCAATAATGTTCACTCATAAAAACTGAAAGAGCTGCAGATGCTGTAAATTAGGAACAAAAACAAAAGTTGCTGGAAAAGCTCGGCAGGTCTGGCAGCAACTGTGAAGAAAAAACCCTTCTGAGGAAGGGTCACCAGACCTGAAACGTTAACTCTAATTTTTTTTTCACAGATGATGCCAGACCTGCTGATGTTCACACATTTTTTAAAACACTTTGTTCATGGGATTTGGGTAACTCATTCAGGCATATTATTACCCACTTTTGGAACAGATGGGTCAGCCACAGTTCGCACCTCTGAGTCGTGAGGTGGGAGATCCAAGTCCCGCTCTAGGACTTCAGCATAAAAATATAGACTGATGTTCCAGCATAGAACTGAAAGGAATGTTATAATGTTGGAGCTGCTATTTGTTGGGTGAGAGGTTAAAACCAAATCTTGATTTGCCCACTTGCATGAAAGATCCCAAAGGCACAATTTCAAAGTGAGTAGTGTTATTATCCCTGGTGTCCTGGTGAACATGTAACCTTCAAATAACATCACAAGAAAACATGCCACCACAATAACCAGATTTTCTTGTGATCTTGTTTGAAGGTTACATTGTGGGAGTGGATTTGGTTAGCTCAGTTGACTGGATGGCTAGTTAACAATACCAAGAGTGTGGGAGGTTCAAGTCCTGCATTGACTGAGGTTACTGTGAAGAACTCTCCTTCTCAACCTCTCTCTGTGCCTGAAGTATGGTAACCCTCATGTTAACCCATCACCAGTTATCTCCATCTAGTAAGACAGCAGTCGATGTGATCCAGTAAGATTATGGTGACTTTACATTGTGGGAGCTCATTGTGTGCAATTTGGTTGCTGTGTTTCCTCTGTGACACCAGGGGCTATGCTTTAAAAAGCTGTATTTAATTGGCTGTAAAGCATGTGTGGTAGGTCCTGTATGGGTGTACCTGAACGCCAAGTCTTTTTGCTCTTCAGCAGGGGATGGGCGGGGTGGAGAACTACAACACCCAGGATGCATTGCAAGGTGCGCGCACGCGCTGTCGGTTGACCCCGCAGGGAGGGGGTGGGAGGTGAGAGGTCGCACTGGTTTGTGGAGGAGGAGGCAGCGGCGGGAACGGGAGGCGGCGAACATACCGACTGCAATGATCACCGGCGACAGGAGTAGGCCGTGACTTGGAGCTGAGAGGAGGCCATGTTTGTGCAGGAGGAGAAGATCTTCGCCGGGAAGGTGCTGAGGCTCCACATCTGCACCATGGAGGGGGCCGAGTGGCTGGAGGAGGTGACCGAGGAGACCAGCGTCGAGAGCCTCAAGGAGCGCTGCTTGAAGCATGTAAGGGCAGGCCTC